TATATATATATATATATATATATATATATATATATATATATATATATATATATATACATACCATGACGTCTCTTTTAAATGAACGTGTTTCAATTTCTTTATGTTTCCTTGAACTCAGATGATTATCGTATGCGTTTGTTGATTGAAAATGTTTACCACAACATTTACAAATAATCATTCTTGTCTCTGTACTTTCCTCGGCAGTTGTCTGAAAACTAATATTACAAACTAATAAAACGATGGAAAGAAAAGAAATTAAAACCAAAGAATTAAAATCTCCGTTCAAGAATGACGCAAACATTATACAACAACAAACACAAGAGACTACAATACATGCAAGTTGAAAAAATTCACTACTCTTAAATATCATTCATAGAAGGTAAGAGGAATTAAAATTAATAAGTGATTTCTAATCGGTAGCAGCCTACCTGAAGCAAGACACTTTAATTGCCTGCAAAATACTTTTCGTTTGGTCGGTACTTTTTATTACTTGCTGCTGATGTAATGAAATCTCATCAGCTCCAAAATTAGCTTCAAAAAACCAACCAAAACCTATTCTAACACAGCTATCATTAACTAACTGGAAAAAATATCGAAGTCTCACATTAGCACAATTTTAACTTCTTCAATTATTGTACCGATAAAAATCAACTTAAACATGGAATACTAGGAATTTATTACAGCGCATTGCATTGTTATGTGAATTACTAAATGACTGCCAACAACAACAAACGATATAAATGCTTAGGTTCACTTAAATCCATAACTGGATGAAGTACGGACCTCTTTTTTGTAAGCAATGACTTTTTGCCTAAATTGTTCCTCGGTGATAATAGTAAAACCAGTAATCTGAAAAAAAAACATAAAACAAATATACACTATATTTATATTTCATGTGTAACCATGCAGTTTACAAGTAACAACAGAACTTCAGACTGAAAGCTTTGGTGTACAGCAAATTGGGGCCATCGTTTTCATAACTTTATTGCTGATGCAAGCAGTAATACAAAAAGAAGGGTAAACTAACTTTCCGTTTGAGGTTGTACCGATGCCAGTCTGTTTTATAATGTTCTCGTTGTAGATCACTATTTCCGAACACAGCTTGACAACATAGGCAAGTAAGACCGTTCGATGCATTCATGACGAGTGGATGCAAGTATTGAAATTAACAATTAACAAGTGCCTGAAAGAGCTCCATCACGAGGTTCAGTGAGGACCAACATTGATTCCAAAGACAAGGCCTTGAATGAACTAAATAAAACTTGTGTGAAATCTTCCTTAAGTGGTATAGAGCAAATCCACCCACTAACAAACTGTTCAATTTTTTATTTGTCTCTTTCAATGAAAGACGATCAAATTCGCAAATGAAGTTCGTAGCAGTTAACTGTTTTCATGGGATACTGCAGTTTGAAATGACAAAAATTAGTGTTTGTACGCATCAAACTGGTTGATCCGCATTATGTCAGTGCATGTTAGGTGTGCAGCAGGTAATACTAAGACATTGTAAGTATGCAAACGACGACAGTACTTCGCAGAGGTTAATTTAAAACTATTAGAGGTAAGATAAGTGACTGCTGGTTGTAACCTATCTCTCCCGAAGACTGCCCATCCTCAGAGAACCGGAACCCTCCACGACCAGTACATAACGTCTCAAGCCACTAACACTCTTATACTATTCACATGATGTCTTTCTGAATAACCAACTACCTGTTACAACTCTGTTCTTGCGGCGCAAAATTTTATATTTGAAATTTATTGAAATCTTAGTTTCGTGTTTTTTTTCGTGAAATCATTGTTTTTCGTGTTTTTTCGTGCAATCTTTGTTTTCGTGTTTTTTCGTGCAATCTTTGTTTTCGTGTTTCGTGTAAAGGTCGCGGTCATTCGAAACAAGGGAGCGGACGTCTCGTCTCGTTAACACTGTTCATTTCACACAATCGAAATAGAAAGCTTCGGATTGGCCATCTGGCGATGGGAATACACAATTTGTTGCCTTTCGTGAAGAATGCATGTCGTCAAGTGGGGTTTTTAATAGCATTTAATTTTATTTTTGATGATTAACATAATAAATCAACCTTCCCTCTGCCTCGTCATTTGAAAGTTTTGAAAGAAAAATATGAAGATCGAACGATGTTCACATTGAGAGAGCAGGGTCAAACGTTTAGTTGGTGCCTCCGGACTTCCATTTTCCATGCGTGATAACATATTTTGTGCATATTGTTTGTAGGAAGCAAGTACTGAGAAGAAGTTCACTTACTGCTAAAATTGGCTGTTTTTTAGGGTAATATCAATGAATTTGCGCATCAATCAGTTGCTGTGGATGTTAGTTGTCTGTTACATCGAGGATTGATTGGCTGTGCTGACAAAGTCGCTCAAGGATGTGAAACCGATTTGTTAGTTTTTTATTCGAAACTCTTACATTACTTCAGTTTTTTACTGAACAATTTCACTTTTTTAATGTGATCAAAGTTTAAGAGCTCAAATATTTGGACTTGTTACCTTTCTGTGACAGATAAATTTGTCCTTTGGTAATGAGAATTTGCGAAATTTGCATCAATTTTTTATAAGAAGCGTAAGGTCCTCTGACTCTTCCAATTTCCTGTCCCGAAAAATAGCATCTCAGTCGTGTGTACTGAATACTATGTCTTTTGTTCTTCATTTACTTTAAAGATAGCTGCTGTTCCAGTATCCATGACGAGAGAATTTTTGATCCCCGTTTTTTGCAACTACACTGGTCGTTTTTCTTTCCTTCTAATTTAAATGTCACGTTTTTTAGTTATATACGCTACGTACTGAAATATGTTAGAGCTTTGCTCGCAATTGGTTGTCACATTATCCTTGTTTTCGATGGACAAATGTTACCAGCTAAAAAAGTTAGTTTAGTTGCAGTTATGAATATTAAGTCCTTACTGGAGCAGATTTTTTTACCTTTTGTTACTTTTATAGGTTGGCAATTGCAGGAAACTAATAGTTCACGACGCGAGAAGCGTGATTTTCATAAACAAAGAGGCGATTTATTGCTGAGCGAAGGTAGAGCAAGTGAAGCTTACGACTGTTTCAAACGTAGTACTTCACTGACACCCAGGGTGATTGAAACTGCTATTCAGGTAAAAATAGATCCCCTGAATTCAAAGAAGCTATGTATATTACACAAAAGACTAAAGTGACAAAATAGGATGAATAACAATTGAAAATTTAATAAATACGTCGTAAGCAGATCTCATTATGTTCTAAAATGAGTCAAAAAATTTAGCTTTGGACTGAAATTCAATCGTAGCTCTAAATTTTTCAATCATTTGTTTATTTTTCGCAACAAACAAAATTCGTAAATCTCACTTGTATGATTTGTTAAAACAGTATACCAAGGATACGACTAAACATCCTTTTTTATTTAATTTGCTATGTAAAATCACTTCATCAGTAAGTTTTTACTCATTAAAGGCATTTCGACGTTTGAATATGGTTGATGTTATCGTAGCTCCTTATGAATCAGATGCGCAGCTGACTTTTTTGACCAAAACAAAAATGGTACAAGCAGTGGTTACTGAGGATTCCGATCTCATTGCTTTTGGTTGCGAGAAAGTTGGTCGTCCTTTCCACTCGTCATTTACTACAAGTTTTAGCGCAACCTGGTTTTGGTTTTAAATCACTCAAGTCCTAAATAAAAAATTCCTAAACTTAAATTTGCAGATAATTTTTAAAATGGACCCTAGTGGATCTTGTGTTATTTTTGATCAAAACTTATTACCAAGATGCTTGTGTAGAGCACTTGCAGAAAATTTCGATTTTGATAAGTTTCGAAGAATTTGTATTCTATCTGGATGCGACTATTTACAAGTAAGATTTTTTAATTTTTGCCATTTAGAGGGTAATAATCCCGAACAATCTTACAGTTATAAAATCAAGCGGGAAGACTGTCTGTATATTGTTTACTCCAACAGAAACGACGGCCAATTTCCGTTGAAGCAAGATCCTTTACAGGACTCGAGATGGAATCAAAAAAACAAGATCTAAAAAAAAAATGCAATAATAACAATCCTTACTAAATTTTCCGACGAGTCGATAAAAAATATATTGTTCAATAGATAACAAATATATTGTTCAATTTTAGGCAGGTCTTCCTGGAGTGGGCTTAAATAAAGCGGCAGCTTTTTTCGCGAAAACTGATGGTAGAAATTTATATCAGGTAATTGAAAAAATATCGACAGATGTTTATTTAAAAAAAAATTGTTTTTGTTTTTTTCAACATCCTAGAATGTTTTTGTTCTTTTTCAACATCCTTTTTAGATACTACCCCGACTTCCACGATATCTCAACAAAAATTCTTTAAAAGTAACCAAACAGTTTATTGACGATTTCATTCGTGCTGAAAATACATTCCTTTATCAAATTGTTTTTGATCCAGTTGAGAAACGGCAACGCCCATTAAACGACTATCCGCTGAATCCCCAAAGCAATGAGGATGATGATGAAGTAAGTAATAAAATACAGCGTTTTTTACTGCACTTAATTTTAAAATGCTAAAACAGTTTTAATATTTATAGTTTCATTCGAATAGCCAAAGAGACGATGATCATTTTTCTTACGCGGGAAGTATTCAACCACAAGAAATTGCTATGAGGTTTGCTTTCTTGAGACTTGGACTTTATATCTTATTATTATATCTCAATTTATTCGACAAAAAAATGCCAATTTAAGTTTTGCGTTGGGAAACATTCCTGGTGGTTCTCAAACTGAACAAATAACCTTATCTGAAAATGTTCCTGATTGGTCAATTTGGAGTTCCAATTACAAAAGTGCAGGGATTCGACAGAAGGAAAAGCATGGTGGAGAAATCAGAAAGAAATCATCTTTTGGTGTATTCATGGTAGCTATTGTGACTTGTTATCTAGTTTGGAAATTTTCTGGCATTTGAAATAGAAACAAAGCAGAAAAGCAATACGTAGGATAAGAATTTTCAGAAAGTCATTTTAGTTTCCAAGAAAAAATAATAATTTTTAAATGAAATTTTCCAAGTCTCTTGAGTTTACGACCTTCATTCGTTCAATATTTCCTTTAGTTTGAATCTTCTCGACCACCACCGCTACGTATTTCGGATTCCTTATCGACAATGGATTCGAAAATATTGGCAAATAGTTTAACTGATGATAACGATGACTTTGTTTTATGCAAAAAAACGAAGGATTTGCATAAAGTTCGGCGTAATTTATGGAATCTCCAATTCTATAAAGCATTCATGCAGACTTTTTTGCTTTTTTCTTTTAAATTGATACAAAGAGGTTTTTGTTATAAATCCTTTTCTTATAGAAAGTTGTAGAAACTTCAAAAACCAAACAAATTTCAACAAAAATCGACCGTAAATTGACACATATCCATTCTATTGGTGTTGCAAGAAATGGAAACGGCGCCCGTAAAAATTGGAATTGTGATCGTCTGCTAAAAGAATTTGCTACTACAACAAACATGTCGCAAAAAAATGCAACAAACTCTCATCGCGGTGAAAATTTGAATTTATCTTCGTCGATGAAATTTATGCGAATTGTTTATTTGCAGGATTACATTTATATCTAATTTTAACTTTACAGAGCTAAGAAAATTGTTATTTGCTCACAGTGGTATGTTTCTTTATACTTCAAATATGATTTAATATATTTTACAGGACCTCTTTAAATTTGCTGCCATTTATAATACTTAATTTAGAGCTTTTATAGAAATACCTCTTAAAAAGTCACGCAAAGCTTCCAAAGATGGACATACTAATCAAGATGACCATGCTAATGAAGACATCATACCTGTCACGTCAGTAATAAAAACCACGTTTGAAGCATCAAGGAACAAGATATTTTGTAGTAAATACTTTTTGAACAAAGGATCAAAAACAAGGTTTGTAGTCTAACATTGTTTCATAAAAATAGGAAATGAAATTATTCATGTGTATCAGATGAATCAGGAAATCTGAAATTTTCAGTGAGACAATTTGTGAAATATTTAAAAACATTAATTTTAGTCCCTAAAACTTGAAATAATTTTTATCAAAGTTCTAGCGGTCTTTCGCGACGCTCATTTTCTTCGCGTGCTGTACCCAGTGTATCTCAAACAGAATTATCCCAGGTAAAGCTCGTATATTAATTAGTTTCCATAAGAGAATTTGTTAAAAGATTTGATTTTCTGCTTCAGAATACTGTTTTTATTTGATCTTAATAAATCAAGAGCAAATCATATTAATATAAAAAAGCAAACTTACTGCCATAAATCATTCTGTTACGACAACGATTCCTTTGTTATTACAGACAAGTAGCAGTTGGTCTCAAGATATTCCGGAGAAAGTAAATTTAGATAAGCCAGACGAAAAGTAATTATTTTAATGGAAATTTTAACCATCTCAGACGTCATTTGTCAATATCTGAATGAAATTGTTTTAAAAAAAGAATATTACCATGTCTTATAGTTGAATTCAAAACTAATTCTTTTTTGGAATTTCGTATCAGATTTTGTGTAGCTTTTCTTTTGAGATAGGATAGATGAATTTAAGTCTTTTTGTTACAATGGTTTCTCATTCAACTAATCAATTTTTGCACTGCTAATTATTGCTTTTTTCTCATTGCAAGAGATTCCCTTTCAGTTTTTTTAGTGACATTTTGCAACTTGTATTATCTAAATTGGAATTAATTTACCTATCTTGAACGTTGCTGTTGTTATGTAATCTTTTGTGTTCTCCATTTCCATTGCAGCAAATTTACTCCAAAACTTATGCATGTTATAATGAATGCTGTTTTTGCCGATGCCTTGTTTGTTTTTTTCCTGAATATCTTTGCTATTGGCCATGTCCGAATATATAATTTAGTTCACGGTGAACTTTTGCGACATTATTTGTTTTTTATTGGATTTTTTGTTTCGGGGAAGATATATTTTTAGAGCATAACGCATTATAAAAACTACGCATTATGTATTTGTGTTAGCATCTTGTCTCACTGTTTTGATCCCACTTATATCTTCCGAAAAATATTAAGTAGCCTATTGCAGAATTATTACAGGAAGATTTATGGCTGTTGTATCGAGCCATGTTCTTTTTCTCGGTATGGGCGTAGTAACAATTATTTATTTCTTATACTTTTATTACTTATGCTTGTATAATAACATTAAGAACACATGAGATTTGATGACTCTCAGAGTTATCGATTCAACTGTTATCAGCGCCTTCATCTCTTTTATGTTGATGCATAATACATTCTGTGGGCTTGATATCGAGTTGCACTGTTATTACGCCGCTTATTACAAATGGTATTTAGGTACCCGTTTATGCGACAGTAATCTAGAAAGAGCGAAAACCAGTGATCATTGGGCTGATTTTTATCATCGAAATTGTTGTTCCTATGAATCGGAAGTGAATGTTTGGAAATGATTATCCATGTTTCCAAAAGTTTATAATGGCGTAGTGCCATTTTTGATATATTTGAATCGTCTAAAAGTTACAAGAAAAGCTTCTTGACTTACAAAGTGAAGTTTTAATTTTAAGACTTCAGCGAAAGCAGATTTCTGTTGACTGCGTAGTATTTTTCACTCCTGGCTTCATTAAACAGGTAAACAGGTTGGAATAAATCGGCCAGTAGTTCACTATTTTTTACATAAAAATAAAGCTTTAAAATGTGCAAAGCAGTGGATGCAACTGCTTTACAACTGCTTTATTTGGACTTGCTCGATTTATTTAAAAAATTTTTTCGGTGGTGTTTCTTTGCGAAAGGAGATATCTAAAAAGTTTGGAGAAGGAATTAGAAAATGGGATAAAAGATATAAACCGGTTAAATCACTGCACATCCTAATTTTTTAGAACAATTTTTTGGAACGGTCCACATTTACAGTGATGTTTTTTGATATAATGGATAGGCCAGGGTTATTTAGAATCCGCTCTTTGCATCACACACATGTTTACCGTTCTGTATTTATTGGTTTCCATTCTACTGCACCTCCATCCAATTCCAGGTTGGTTTACTTTCCTTCTTTTCCTGTGTCAAACGTTGCTGAATCCAGCAAGTTCCAAATGATATATGATATCGAATTCAGTTTTCTAAGCTAACATTGCTCATTGGTTAAAGGAATGACTAGAATATAAATATGAAATAAAAATGAAGTATGCTAAATCATTTTGAACAAAAATGGATTAAAAGGGAAGAGATGATACAATGTCTTATAAGCAAATATGAAGATTTTTCCGATATTACTTGCCAAGAAAACGAAGAATGGCCTTCTTCAAAAGCATTTAGTCTAGACCATTATTTTGAGACAGATTTCAGGTAAAAGATTTCACATTTAAAAATTTTTCAGTCTATATAAATGGTATTTGCTTACAGAATACTTCCCACTCTATTAATTTCATTTTCCATTTAGCTGATTTTAGTTAAAGCTCTACTTCACTCGCATGTTTCTGCACATTTCTTCAAGTTTTTTGCTGGACGTTTATTAATTAATACATTCATATTATATATAATACAAACTTCTCAAGCGACATATTATCTAGTCACATCTGTATTAGGTCTAAAACTAAAGCAATTTTACAACATGGTATGAAAAAATCCATATTTTGTAAGCTCTAGAAGTTTCGACTTTTAAATCGCTACTTAAAATTGTGCCAGTGGAGCAGATAAGATTTTAAGTATCAGGGAATTTTTTGTAAGTTACTCGGGTGTTATTAATATTTCTTTCAGGTCGCTCAACAGAGTGCTCAGATTCTGACATGCATTGCTTTACATGGATAGCTGAAAACAGTACAAAATGCGATCTTGTTAATGAGTTTCCCAATAATTACTGCAAAAAAAGTTGTCAACTCTGTAACTCTAATTCATTTCCAAAAGGTTGATATTTCTGAGGAATTAATAAGTCTTAATATTATCGTGCCGTTTTAACTGTCAAGTGAATAAATGACTAAAATTTGGAAGGTAAATTTTCTTGCGGTTTATTTTGACTGAAGATTTTCTAAAATACTTTCAGAATATGATTTGAAGAAGATTCCGGCAACCCTTAAAAGTATAGTATTCCTGATCGGTAAATGGCGCTCCGAATTTGGTGGTAAAGCAGTTTTTCCAACAATTCCAAAAGCCACCTATGGGGAAGAGGTCGATTTTAAATTAATTACCAAAGGCGACCGCGTGCTCGATGTTCTTAACTACTCGTATGTAATTTTATCATTTACTGCTGCATTTTGATTGCAACTGCTTTTTGGACGATATCCGACCAAAATTTCTGACTTTCTTATAGCTTATCAAATATTTTTATAATGCGAAGTCTTTTCAAGTTGTGAACTATAAATTTAGAGTCAAGCTGAGCAGAAAATTGTATTATTCGTTTTCAAAGTTTAATCGTCACAATGTTCTTGAAATCATCGTATGTTAATTTATAGAGCGATAGCATGGGATAGCTGGGATGGGAAGGAAATACATAGCGAATACGGTTTCTTATCAGTTGTCAATAACAACGGTAGTGATCTCGTTTCATTAAACGCGGTTATGAGCAACGGTAGAAAATTTTTCTTTTGTTTATAGGTCGGTACTACTTTTTCTGCTCCTTGATATTTTATTTTAGCTTACTTATAATGCCATTACAACATTCCTTTTATGATCGGATCTGCGCACGTTTTTAAGGTTTTATCACGATTGAAGAAGGAGAAGAACGTGGACTTTCGATTGAATTGCGCATGCAACGAATTGGACGAATTAGTTTCAGCCATGATCTTCCGGTCCTCAGGGTCATTCATTGATGTAAAATTTTCAAAAAAGAAAAAATTTCTTACCGGGAATATGACTTCATTTAAAAAAAAAAAAAAAAACGAAAGAATTCAACATTTTAATCATTGTAACATATTAATACTGCAGATGTCGAGAAGCTGGACACTACTGGACACTACACATTTAGAAGCTCGTCTGTCTATTAGTACTATAATTCACCGTGAGATGACAGAACATACAAGTATCATCTATGATAGAATATATCCTTGACATTATTTGCCTCTTGAAACCCAATGAATTTAATCTACCTTATTGGCCATTGGTCATGCATCTTTTGTCTATGTTATATATTAATATGCACGATCGATATTATTACATGGTTTTGTATTGTTATATGTATCAGTAGGTATTCATGTACAAAGAAGGTAATTGGAAGCACAAGACTGACAATTCACATGTTCCATATTATGGCATGCGTCACCTGATACTTCTACTATTTTCATAATTTAATACATTGTGAGAATATATACATGTGGTAGGCGTACTATATTTCTTGTAAAGAAGTAAGACTTGTTTGGGATATAAGTAATGCAGCTTTTACTGAATTAGTTGGAAGTTCGAGATCAATGTACTTCTACGACAGTGAAATTTGAGATATGTGTTTGGATGATTCGGTTACACACTGTATGGGATGGATGGGTTGGACACAATATTTCGTGTCAACAAATTAATCTTTTATCTCAACTCTGTCTTTCAGCACTGGGTCTTTCGTAGATAACTTTATGACGCATTAGTTGGGAAAGAAATTGGAAAAAACGGTGGGTAATCGATAAGAATGGAATTTACGATTTCTTTTTTCATCGAACTTACTTAAAATTAAGAAAATTTACGACGATAATAGTAAAATACTGTATTTGCGCAAAAAGAAAAAAAGAAACTGGTGCTAATTTGCGAAATTATCACTTTTGCATTAAATAAAAAACGGACGGGGAGGACGTATGACAGAGAAATTCAATCAATAAAGAAGATGAGATGCACACATTGTGTTTCTTTGGCAATCGTTTTTTGGCATACAAATATAGTAATAAAAGTGGAAGGTCATTTTTGCGTACAAATAAAAATTAAAAGGAAGAAATGGACACAAAACTCCATTACGATCCTGCTCTTTCTGCTTCAGGTGAACGATACAGCCGGAATTCTCGACCACAAGAAAGTACTTTTATTACTTTGTGCTTTTTTATTCAAGGAATGAATGAATTTTTGACCGGTAAAAGGACATCCATGAGGCGACCTTGTCAGATTGCGAAAAAATAGGAAACAAAGGGAGGAAATCGAGTGCGGGAAGTGAGGGAGATCACAAAGAGATGTAATGAATGCATAAATTCAAGGCATCTAACTTGCATTCTCTCTCTTTCCTTCTTTCTAACGGAAAAGAATTGAAATTGTGTCAATTTTAATGATTCTTTGTGATATTTATATACTTTAATACAGCTCAAATGTTACACAACAACACGAAGAGATTGGTATGATTACGGGAAGTCAGTTCCAAACAGACTTGGTTTTCATTTATCATGAACTAAAAATATTTGACATAGTTTACAGAAATTTGAGAAGTCTTTTTTGCCATGATCTTTAGTTAAGAATGAATCGATCAACGAACGAAAGAATTATTCAGAATGAATCTGAAATTTTACTACTTAGAATAGTCAAAACGTTATTACTCCTTAAGAATTATTACTCATACTGAACGGGAGTGTGAAACATAATTAATTTATAATACATAAATAAATAAATAAACAACAATTAGCAGTTACAAGCAGGACGCTTCGTCGCTTGAAAATTCCATTTCCACGCTTGAAATTCATATTTTTACTTCTTTAGCCTCCTCCGCAGGCCTCTAATTAATGCTTTCCAAATACTATCCACTACAAGTTGTTTCCAACTGTTCTGTCATCTCAAATTAACTCCAAATTAGAATGTTTCTTTTGTTATGCTTTTAGCACAGATTAATGTTAGGGACATTTTCTCAACCTATCCAAGTGATATTCTCTTGCCAATTCCAGACTTACTGCCACTTGGCTTTTTTTGTGCAGCGTATTTGTTAATAGCGGTGCATTTTACCCTAACTAACATGGAAGGCACTTCTTCTATTACTAAACTTTTATTAGTTGCTTTTAGTATATTTGATTTAAATCAAGTCATGCTTTCAGTGTTGCTATGATATAAAATACTAACGAGTTCCTGATGCCTTCTCTTTCACTTTATTTATCGGTTTGTGGCTTAGAGCTATTCATCGTGTCTCTTGGCTACTGCAACACTGTCATTGTTTTTTTTTAATTTTAAAATGGCAAATAGAACAAATTTAGTTATATTATTAAAAGGAATGCACAGTCATTCAATGTTTTTTGTGCAATTTGCAGTTTATGTCATCAAATTATCCCTCTAAAGTCATTAACTAATTGGAATGCCCCATTTATCATCAGTGACCAATAGATCTATATCTCTAAATGTTGAAAGCTGCAAATATAAGTAATCTTTCATTCCTCGAGAATATTAGACTACTGCTAAATCACATGAATCATTTTCTTATACCATATTAATAACTTCTAATAAGTGGAAACAATATCTTTCTCTATGACAATATGATTCATTCTCAGAAGCAAAGCAAAATTGATCTAATCTGATCAAAGAGATATCCTCAACGTATTTCGTCAATAATATTAGTCTACGTTTTAGTTTCAACGGAATTATCGCCGTCATTCATCGCATATATCAGTGCTAATTGTCAGTGACACAGTGCAAAGACCAACTTAATTTGTGGTTGCATTTTTTGATACTTAGCTGACATATACTGGGTGGCCGGAAACTGCCATCCCTCTCGCGTTGTCTCATTCTTCCCTCCTCCGTCTCCTTCATTTTTTTTGTCATCTTCAAACTATTATTAGTACAGTTTCCTCCTTCACTCCCTATCCTTTATCAGTAACTCGAGTTTATCTTCTCTTCTTCCTCCTTATCAAAACAATACTGCCTTGGTATATTACGATGACTATGTATTGCTGGACAATTTTTCTCAGAAGCTTAAAAAGATCTGTCTATTAAATATATAAAACTGTCAATGATATTATACATAACTTGATAAATACGCGCGCATATCATGCTTCTATATCACTTCTTGAAAGGACTATCAGTGATGTATTTTATTATAACAGTGCTTCATCCATGTTATCTCTTTTTCATCCTGAACATTTTAATTTCACATTCCCTATCAAATCCTACACTAACAGTTAAACGAGCGACAAAAAATATTTGTTTTTGAATTAAATATGCGCCTCTTTTGAAGGATTTTATTGTGGCAGTAGCAAAGCAATGAAGTAATTTAATTATTTCATTCTATTTAACATTCACTAAATTCACTAACTCACTATGGTGATCCGTCTTTTTTAATTCTTAAAATTCAATATTATGCAAACAAAAATACTGCGTCATTTGTTATTATTATTATTTTATTATTATTATTATTATTATTATTATTATTATTATTATTATTATTATTATTATTATTATTATTATTAT